TTGGTTTATGAAATGTATTGGATTGAATATGAATTTAAGCACTCCAAATATTAAATACTCAAATCGACCAATAATGGCGGTGAAAGGTTGTTCATCATCGGGTTTGGATTTGGGGAGACATTTTTAGGTGTCTACACTAACACATTTAACTCCCAATCTTTGCTTGTCTTTGTTGCTTATGACATACCTAAGGTCTCTCCCTTGCATGACTGCATACTTGCTTACAGCCTCCTTAAAATTAAATCTGTTTACAAACCTTTGACCCACTTTCCAGGTGAACTTTGTGAAGTCAGTGTCTCCCTTAATTATCTCTCCCTTTTGAGCCTTATTAACTCCCTCTAATTCATCCTCACTGGTAGTTGGTGTATGAATATCATCATCACTCTGCTCATAATCAATTATTACACCACCTTGTTGAGATGTTGTGTTAGCAGAGGTGGGAGCTTGCTTCTCTAGTGGATTTTCACCAAGCTTGTCCTGACTAGCTTTTTTTTGCAACTGTAGAGCAACTTCAATTATCTTTGAGTTGCAATTCTTCACTCTATCCCTTGCTTCAATGACCTCAACATCACTGTCATCAGACTCAGGGTCAATAAAATCAGTCCCCTCAAGCTCCTCAACAGATGGCTCAACTTCCAAATCTATGTCATCTAGTCTGAAATCACCAGCCTGTTCAGTGTCTCTATCAGCATCTACCACATGATCCTCATCCTGTGAGTCATCCTCATACTCATTACCCTTACATAACTTCTGGTATTTTGGTTCATAAGTTGGATCATCCTCATCACTAAACTCACCATCATCACCTATAAGCTCACTCCACTTCAAAGGGCTAACTCCTCTATTGTCCTCCCATTCATAATCAAGAAAGTTTGTGTCAACACTAGGTAGCTCAGCAGCGGATACAAACTCCAAGCTTGGGAATTGAGAAAGGTTAGAGAGGGGTTTTCAGTTTCTTTCTCTAAATCTGGAACTACATACAAAAGGGGGTTTGGAGGGGGCTGCAGCTTGTTTTTCTCTTAGATTTGGTTTTAAGGGTGGTAATGAGGTTGTTAGGTCAGTTAACTGTTGGTAAGAAAAAGAATAGGGTGCTTTTATAGGTTCTTTTTTTTTATGATATGGCAACATCTTTTTGTTTCCTAGGGCTTATCCTAATGGGTGTGGCTAGCTTTGTTTGTGGTCCCTTCTTTGGGGTCAATTTTTTTCTCTTACTGACTTTAGGTGGGGGTTCTCAACATCTTTGTCTGTTATTTGGGATGGGGTAGATTTAGGTGAAGATTCTATCACTTTGCCAACAACAACTCCCTCCTCGCTTTTGTACAGGATTGCTAACAACTCCCTCAATTTGAATAAGATTGCTCACTACTTTCTAAACAGGTGGCTCACAGGGTCTTAGCACAGGTGGCTCCTCATAGTGCAGGAAATACACATCAGCAACCCTATATTTATTTGCAATTTCAATCAACTCCACCACTTCTTCATCTCCATTTATTTTCCTCAAACCATTCTCCAAACTCAACCCAGGAACTAGGTAATAGATCCAGCCACAGTAATATACCCACATTTATTAGCATATTTAAGTAACTCCCAGTAACACAACAAATCTGGGTCTACCATGTAATTCCTACCCATACCACCCACATACACCAATTCACCATTACCTTGATGTTTAAACCTACCACCGTGCCAAAACCTTATTGTAACATTATCAAAGAACGTGCTCATTGCAACCTAGAATTACACGGCATATTTAGGCTACAGTCAACATCAAAGTCTACAAAAAATACTATCAATACCTTCACATGCAACAACATCAACAACAAATTTTCAGTTAGCTAAAATTAGCAATTAACCATAACACCCCAACATTAACCCTGCGCCCAAAATTAATCGCAATTTAGTGTACTTGCAATTCACATGAAATTCCCAAAATTCAAACAAAAACCCCAACTACACTTAAATTGCATCACAATACACTCAAAATCAAACGTGTCTAACTCATAGTTCATAATTCAATGCATGACATTGCAATTCGACATTTTGTCAATAAATTGGGGGGAAAAATCGTACCTTTATTGCGCAAATAGGGTAGCCAAGCTTGTCACTTTTGTACTTATATCCACTGTAGTTTCCTTCTCAAGATGATGGGGATGGATTATGGCATTCAATTATGCTGATGAAATGTGGTTGACTGTCTTCTTTAATGGAGTAAACAGAGAAGGGAAATGAAAGAGGAGAGAGAGTGTGAGAGGGAGGGAAATGAAATTGAACGGGTTACCAATAATTTGTTCCATTTGTAGAAGAGTGGTGTGAAAGGTGGTTTTATTTTAAAATAAACTAAAGGTGGTTCCATTATTGGAAGATGGGTGAAAGGTGGTATTATTCTGGGCAAATTTTCCTCCTAAAAAAAGGTTAAGTGTTAATTTGTAACTAATACTTTTTTCTTAAAAAAGAAAATTAAAATCAAACATATTTTTGACTAATCATGTGATGACACGTGTACATAAAACTTTTTTTAAAAAAAAAAAAATTACCTATTCAACAGGTTGCTGGTCACTTAGGACCGTTGGAAGCAAATTCATATTAAAGATCGGATTATTAAAAAATAATAGAAAGTTGGGATTATTTTTGGCGAATCGAGCAAAGTTGGGATTATTCCTGTCAATTTTTCCTAAATTAAATTGTAAGCATGTAGCTTACTATTTAAGTGACAATATTGATGCAGATAGATTAAGCAACCCTGCTTATACAAGCTACATTGTTTGATTTTTCAAAGAAAGCTTCATCCACTTAATATTTACGACACGTGTATGATGAAATTTACTTTACTCCATCTGTTTCGTACTAATCGCAATACTTTGACTTTTGCACTATTCATATACTTACTTTGACTATATTTTTTTACCAATATATAAAAAATATATGTTGTCATATAAAATATTTTTGGATTAGTTTTTAAACTAGAGTGTATTCGTGCAATGCACGAGATATATATATTACATAACGATATTAAAAAAAATCTAATAACAAAAATTATATTTCAAATACAGGATATTAAATTTTATATGGTAACTAACTCTTATATGTGGCACACCATGTGGCCAGCTATTATAGGAGTTATTTTATTAGTTTTATCGGGGTTATCCATTCAGTGTTATAGAGGTAACCCTGTTAGTGTTATAAGGGTTATTCTGTGAGTGTTATTGGAGTTACTTTGCTCTTTTCAAGCAGCTACACTGGTGGCTTGTCGCACAGAAAACGTATTGTATATATATATATATATTTGTGTTGGTGATTATTGGATTAATAATAAGGTAATTGGAATTTGTTTAGAAATATCAGTTAATGTGCATACCCGTGCTAATGCACGGATTATATTATACGCGAAGGAAAACAACACAAAGTGAAATGTTGGTAATTGTTGGCATTCCTTGAAAAAAAGAAAAAAAAAACTGAGATTATTGGTATGGGTAGAAAACATGATGCATACATTTTTTGTTTCACAAAGTTTTATATGTGGCTGACCACACCGTGTGGCCGAGTTATTTGTTTAGGGGTTACTCAGTTGGTCATGGGTTACTCGGTAAGGGGTCACTCGATCGGGGGTTATTTGGTCGGTCAGGGGTTACTCTGTTAGGAATTACTCGATCAGTGGCTATTCGGTTAATTAGGGGTTACTTGGCCAACCAGGGGTTAATTGGTCAGGGGATATTTGGTCAATTAGGGGTTACTCAGTCAAGAGTTACTTAGTCAAGGGTTACATAATCAGGTAGGGGTTACTCAGTCAGAAGTTACTCCGACAGGGGTTACCTGGTTAGTGTTTTGTGTGTGTCAGTCGGCCACACGGTGTGGCCAGCCAGACAGAAATCGTGCTATTTTGATTTTGATAATTATTGAATTAATAAAAAGGTGGTTATTTAGTGATTTATTAAAATATAAAACAACAACAATTGTTATTTTTTTAAAGGAAAATAGTGGATCTTATGGTGGTTGTATTTTTTAAAAATGAAGTACACATAATTTTAAGATTGATTTTCAAGTGTTATACGGGAAAGTTAGGAAAAAAAATGTGCAATAATATATGGATCCCTTGTAATTTTGGGGTTTCTAAAAACCAAATTATTGGTTGATATATTAAAATAGGTATTTTTATTTTTTTGAAATAATATTAAAATAGGTAATTTGTGGGGGGGGGGGGGCTTTGGTTATATTGAGTAAAATGAATAGTATGTGTGTCATTAGGAAAAATAATAAAAATAGTTGTAGTGGAAGTTATTTGGAGATTTATTTTTTGTTTATTAAAAAAATAAAAGGTTGGAAGTTATTTGGAGGATAGTGCAAAAAAAAAAAAAAGAGGGAAGTGCATGAGAATTGAGGATTGAGGTTTTGGAGAAACCTCATTAACTTACTCTTAAATTATATATTAGATATATTTTCATTGATTAACTTTTTATACTTCTTAATAATATATAATTACAATTATTAATGGTCAAAATTTTACATTGACATATGTAATGATCAAAGTGTTGCGATTATTATAAAATGATGAGAGTATTTATTTGTTTTTTCAAGTTATAATATTCTATTGCTCACCTTTGAAGTATTTTATAGCTTAAAAATATAAGAGTACAAGCACAAATTACAATACCCGAGTATGAAGGTAAATTACGAGCTACAGTACCCGAGTATTATTTAAAAATAAAATAAAATAATTGCCATGTCAGGTAAGATTGAAAAAATAAAATATTATTGCTTCCCAAAACCGTTAGTTGCCCAAGGCAAATCCGCAAATGCTATCTCTAGAAAAATCCAACCGTCAGACAAAAACCATCTACGGTTCAAAAGCACAAATTACAATCGACACGGATCAATCATACACACGGTCCGATTCAACACATCCAACGACTTAAAACAAACGCGGAACAAACCCCTCCAAAACCAAAATTTCAAAAAATTCAACCACCCTTTTCCCCTTCCCTATATAATCCCCTTTTCCCCACTTTTCTTTCCCACCACAACCAAAACCAAAACCCAAACCCAGACAAAGCCACCAAATCTGAAAAAACAACAAATTTGAAGAGAGAGAAAATGTCAGGAAGAGGAAAGGGAGGAAAGGGGCTCGGAAAGGGAGGAGCCAAGAGGCACAGGAAGGTATTGAGGGACAACATTCAGGGTATCACTAAGCCTGCCATTCGCCGTCTTGCTCGTCGAGGCGGTGTTAAGAGGATCAGCGGCCTGATCTACGAAGAAACTCGCGGTGTTTTGAAGATATTTTTGGAGAATGTTATCAGGGATGCTGTTACCTACACCGAGCATGCTCGCCGTAAGACGGTTACTGCTATGGACGTTGTCTATGCTCTTAAGAGGCAGGGCCGTACTCTTTACGGTTTTGGTGGTTAGGTTTGTGGATTTGTTTTTAGGGTTTGTGTTTAGATCTAAGTGTAGTTTGAAGAAGTTTTAATTACTTTCTGATGTAATTGGAAATTCGAATCGAATATATGAAATATATGGCTTTTTTTAATATGTTTTTTCTCAGTTTCAATTCATGCTAAGTTGATTGATTTTTTTCTTTTTGGGTTAAATTTTGATGAATACAGTTTTAAGATGTTTCTGGGTGTGTGTTTAACTAGGATGTTGCTTATACTAGCTCAATTGGATTTTTTTTTTTTTTTTTTTTTTATTATAGCAATTTGGATGAGTTCATTAATTTTTCTGGGTGTCTTTCGAGATTCTCTTGGTTTGGGTTTGGGGAGCATGTTTTCAAATAAGGCAAACACAATATCTATAAAAACTTAAACCAACACACAAGTCTTAAAGTAGGGAGCTTACAGTGGAAATCTAGTGAACACTAGATTGACAGTAACATAATAATTCTACTTAAACCTAGAAAAACTTAAAGAAAAGCCTAGAAAGCTAAACATAAGCAAAATTACAAGTAAAAAGAAAGAAGAATACATAAGAAAGGACGTGAATTCTAACACTAAGGCTCACTAACTGATTCAAGTCTTGTGGCAATTCCCATATGGACTCTGATATATGATCAGTATCACACGATAAGTCCAAGTCCAGAAATCGCACCAACAAATGAGAATCATAGTGACGATGAATCCATGGCCCCGAGTCTCCCTTTAACTGGAGGTACCCCCAAGGAAATACAATGGAGGGACAAGCAATCCTCTCATATGAGCACTTGCATTGATTCTGATTCTGAGCTGCTTCTGCTGTAATTTCAACAACAGCAGTAGAAAGAAGCTCAATTGATAGTACATACAAAAATCGGAGGAAAAATACTGCAATAAGTGACAAATTCTTTCTTGAATAAAAAAAAAGACTTACTATACCTCCAAGAAGTGGAAATGACAAAGGAGCAATCTCTTTTCTAAGTTCATTCCAGGTTTTCCATCTGCGCAACAGCTACGATGATGGACTCGTTTAAATTATGTGGCAATGTTTCAAGTCTGAAAGACCAAGGGAGTAATAGGAATCACAAATTCCATAACTTTGTAATGCTACCAGGTAGGCACTTGATGGCAGTACCTTGAATATCAATGTAAAACAATTCTAGCAACTCACCCAAATCAGCAGGCAATTCTTCTGAGATTGTAACACTGTCTGAGGTCTAATTTTTGTAAGTTGTGAAGTCCTGTAATGCTCTCTAAGAGACTTACATTTGCTGGCAATTCTTCCAGTTTGATACAACATTCAATTTGCAACACTTGCAAGTTGTGAAGCCTAGTGATGGCGTTAGGAAGGCACTTGAAGATTCTACTATATAGAGGTGTGTGAGCCTTGACAGTTCCCTAATTGAATCTGCTATCTCCCCTTCAACATCATTATTCACAAAATTCAATTCCAAACATCTAACTAACAAATGAGATGCAGGGTTATTTCTAATCCAAGGCCCCGGATCCCCCTTCAAACAGAGCTGACCAGAAGGAGATATAACGCGGGAGGATACCAGGATCCAATTCTTCCTCATAAGTGACCACATATTGATCATGAGATGAGCTTCTTCCGTTGACATTTTGTTTATGAGCAGGATCGCGAAGCTAGAGGAGAATTTGATTAGTAGACTTGCGCTATATGAGCTAATACCAATTTCAACTATACAGAAATATGGTGAAGTCCCCAACGATCAAGTCAAAATTCAACTGCACCTTCTGACCATTAACATACCAAAGGTTAACGTGCCCACCCTAACGAAAAATAAAAAGTATGTAGTAATTTACGAAGAGAGCAATATAAGCAGTTGATTCATTCTCCAATTATGACTTTAAGAATCAATAACAAACAACCCAAGAATACTGTTTATAACGTTATAAGTAGCCTTCAGCCCTTCACAACAAAACTGCTTGAACTTATAATTTCTTGTATATAACTTGATAATGTACATGGGTCTGCACTCTGCACCATTCATAAGCTATGGGAGAGGTTGATGAGCATTTGCAGGGCTAGGAAATGCCACACTAGGCCCTTTGACGCTTTTCGTTGTTGCACTGGGAGTTTTGTCAATGGCATCATATTCAGATGCAGTCGCGCTTAGACATATACTTATACTTTCTAAGCGCTCTACGAAATTGAACTAAGAGTGAGAGATAGTTAAGTTGGTTAAAGCGTCCCTCCCAATTCCTGGGGATTGATTCTCATCACCCGCCCTTGTGGTTCATTAAAGACCAAAAAAAACTCTATGAAATTGAACTGTTATGTGAGGTTTTGTCCGAATCATTTGGTTGGGTTTCATGCAATTCTGTAGACAAAGTTGATTAATACAAATAAAATATAGCATGCATTTAAAAAAATAGCGTATTTGAACTTAAATTTAAAATGATTTTTTTTTTTTTTCGAAAACCTAGAAAGCATACAAGAGAGCTAAGACTTCCACCTTGCTTTAGCAGCAAGGTTGTGAGCATCAACAACATTAACTAGCCATACATTCAAGAAATATTGTAATGCTCCGTAGTTCAGAATAATTAATGCTTCTTCCATTAATGGTAAAGTTATAATTTTATTTTACGTCACCACATATCTACGCAAGCCACACACCCATACCCATATACTACGAGTGTACGAGTATTATACAACAGAACAGTCAAATTCATGGCTGGTTGAATTACAGGACTAACCAGTGGAAAGCAATATTTTTCTTTCCAGAAAAACCATGTCTTATAACTGAAAATGTTCTGTTTACAATTACAATGAACAGAGAACAAAAATGTAGCAAAACTGAAGGCAAAAGAGAACAACATCCACATTGTGCTCACCCTAAATATTACCAGCAAACTATATACAGCTTGCATAAACAACCAACTGATACACCAATCTACAAATTCTGACTTGCCCGCCATCCTAATACTACTACAAGAATGGATTACAATCTATGCAAGTATCTAACTGTTCAAATGGTTTTCATCCTCCCGAGCTTTCACACGAACTTCCAGGATTACCTGACACGTCTTGAATCAACAGTCTCACCATATTGCTTCCTGATGATTTTGATATATCTAAGCACTCTTGTAGGTCAGAGTCACAAGCTATGAAAACCCACTCGTGATCATCGTCGAGATATTTTATCTCAAATGTTCCCACTTCGAGTTTAAACCTTTTTGCCACCTCCTCCTTCAACTCCACAATATTGGAGTTCAAAGAGAACCTAAATCTGATAATATCTTCTCTAAATGTGGCCTTTATGGTAACAGCATTCATATCTTGCCGAGCTAAAAATCTGGGCATCATACCAGCAGCACTCATAGACACTCTGGGAGATGGAATAGGACAATGATGGTTTGTCCACCCATGTTCCGGAATGACTTCTTCTACATTGGTATCATTGGCTGAAGGACATAGATTTCTTAAATCCTTTGAGCTTCCTGCATCCTCAAGAGGCATGCCCCCAAAGGCTTCTCGAGGATGATGTGCTGCAAGGAGGGCGTCTGGCATTGAGTAGCCAGAAACCAGATGTGATTCTCCATTTAGTTGACCCATTAAACCAGTAGAATTACCTATTTGATCATGAAAGTTGGGAACGAAATGGCCATTTGGTGGGTTGCTTTCAATTCCAGGACTTCCATGGCATGATCCATGAGAAGTCGATGTCCCTGCACTTACTTCTCGGGATCCACTCCCTGCTTTAGACACAAGCTCGTTTTGCTCATGAGTTCTTTCTTCATGACTTGATTCCCTGCCGCTGGTCTGCCTGTCAACTCTTTGGCTAAGCTGTGGCATCTCACTCCTTTCATCTGGAAGATCATAAGATTTAGAGGTTGGTGATTGTTGCTGATAAGTTCCATTCACACCAGCAGGCCAACTAATAGACCCAACAGGAACAGGGATAGTAGGTTGACCTAAGGAAGTCAAGCTAAATGTTCCATCAGTTCCCTGGACAGATTCAATCACACGCTTAAGCTTTGTAAGGGAGCGATTCACCTTATTAATCTTGCGAGATGGCCAACGTGATATGCCATGCTGCCTACAGATACGCTTCATTGTTGTTGGACATACTGTTAAATACAATGCAACATACTTAATTACAGGTTATTCAAATGAAATAAACAACCATAACCTTACAGAAAAATGCCACTAAGATAAGACACTTAACCATGTTTACAAATAATGAATAAATAGCAAAAAAGACGAACCTCCGAGGCTTTTTGCAGCATCTTTAAGACTCCCAGCAAAATACTGTTGAAGAACCTCCAAACTAATTTGTTTTTCAGCTTTTCCACGTTTTCTTTCTGAGGTTTTCTTGATCTCTTTATTTTCAACTACAGAGATTCCATTGTGGCATTGACCAGCTCCAACAACACTCTTTCCTGCATTTCTAGAATCAAGTTCCACTAGTTGGGGCTGGGAGATATTTAGCGGTTGTGGTACACCATTTATTGTTTCAGCCCCAGATTGAGGGTTAGTCGACAAATTAGATTCAACTTGTAGGTCCTGATTCTCATCTGCGGAAACTTCAATGATTTCCATATAGTTCCTTTCCTCTTCCAGAGTTCTTCCAGAAGCTACCATTAGATTCTGGAGATCCTGCTTCATTGTTGCCAATATGGAGCCTAGCAATTTAAGCTGCTCTGTAGTGTCTTTTAAGCTAAGAGGGAGGAAAAATTCAAGAATATAATCATCATCTCCTGTATGTTTGCTCCTTAAACAGATTGCAAAGCTGCCAGTTAACCCAAACATACGAGCATAGTGCACCAATGGGTATTCAATTTTACAAAACTGTGAAATATCTCGGCAAAAACTCAAACCATGTGATGAAAATGACCTCCCAGCAACACCCTGCCCTTTCTGAAGATGATGCTCGGCACAGGCTTCTCGGAAGCCCCACATATGAGCATCTACAACATAGAATGCGACATCAGTGGTGGACATGCATACTTGTCCCATACAGCTTCCATCAAAGCTGGAACAACTTTTCTTCACACCACCACCATAGGCTAGAACACTCCTATGCCTGCATGGAACCCAAGTCTGCGCCAGGGGCAATTTATAGGTTTCACATACCTCAGTCAATACTTCCAAGA